GTTTGTCTGAGGTTTTCTCATGGTTACCCTGGGGCTTTGGGTTTGGGGAAAGAACACCAGAGAGTAAAATGCCCTTTCCTCCAGTCGCACCAGGTGACAGATGAGAGGGGGAGTTTCCTCTCTGCCTGACTGCTTGTGCTGAGACATCCGTCCCCTACACCTCTGCTCCTGGTGTCAGGCCTGCAGACTGGAATCTATACCATCTGCTCCTCTAGCTCTTAGGCCTTCAGACTACCACTGGCTTTCTGGAATCCAGACCAGATCATGGGACTACCCAGCCTCCCCTTCACATGAGCCAATACCTTATAATAAATCTCTTCATGCATATTGGTTCTGTTCCTTTGGAGAACCCTGGATCACACAGTATATACTAAAAAGAATTAAAAACAGGAACTCAAACAAATGCATGTACACTATGTTCAAAGTAGCACTACTGACAAGAACCAAAAGGTGGAAACAGTCCAAATGTCCCTCAAGGGAGGACTAGATAAAGCCAGTGTGGTCAGTCCACACAATAGAATATTACTCAGCCATGAAAAGAAGCGGCATACTGACATAGCTGCCACATGGACAAACCTTGAAACCGTGATGCTCAGCAAAAGACACCAGCCATGGAAGACCACCTACTGTATGACTGCGTTTCTATAAAATGCCCAGAATAGGTAACAGAATATAGAAACAGAAGGTTAATAAAGTGGTTGCCTAGAGATGGTGGGTTGTGGAAAAGAAGTGAACAGCTACTGGGTGTAGGATTTCTTTGCGAGGTGATGAAACTTGTCCTCAAACTGGTTGTGGTGATGAATGCAGGACTGAAAATATTCTAAAAACCATTGAGCTGGTTTCCTCAGAAATACAATTCCTAGTACATAATATACCCTCAAGTATATCTATTTTGTGGCCCCATTCTTCATACCAACACATTAATGATTACACTTAGAGTTACAGTTAAGCTGAGAGAAGCAAATCGACTGTCCATCTGTAAGGGGATGTTTGGATTAATGTCATGCATTCATACCTTGAAATATGACACAGGCATTACAAAGCATGCATTCATTCCCTAACAGTTGCCTTGAGAAGATTTCCATTAGTTTTTATGAGTGAGAAAGACAAACTGAGTAACTGTGTATATAATGTGATCACATTTTGGTAAAATAAGTGATGATCAAAAAACCCTGCTTCCTATGCCCATATTTGTGTGTATTTACACACATACAAATGTTGTACATGATCATCTGACCATAAAGAGAAGTGTGGAAGAATGCCCCAGGAGCGGTGGGTTGCTGGAGCCAGGGAGATGATATTGGATGGGTTTTCCAATGAGATACCAGCTGTATGTTTAACACCCAACCTTAAAACTGAACATTTTAAAGCTACTAAAAGTTTAGGTGTGTATGACTTACATGTAAGCTCCACAGGATCCAGTCTCTGCCACTTACTAGCTGTGTTATCTTGGGCATATAACTTAACCTCTCTGTGCTTCAGTTTCCTCAACCAATAGGAAGATCATAATAGTACCTACTTTATGGTTGTGAGGGTTGAAAAAGTGAATAGGTTTAAAACACACAAATCTCATTATTTGCTATTTATTATCATTATCTGTATGAGTAGTCCTTGGCTGCAAATTTTGTGCAAAACCACAGCCTGGCCCTGTTCAGTAAGTAAACAGATGGTTATTTCTCCTCTCATTGGCTTTTTCATCCTCCTCTTTTTCCCGTAATGGAAGGACCATGCTCCTGGCTTGTCCTCTGGACACGCTGAAGTCATGGCAACACAGGACAGAGAAGTGGGCCATGCACTGAGGCCTGGACAAATGATAATAGAAACGGACTTTGCAGATTAGAAATATGGACAGCACATAATGAAATGAGATTAATCGTAGGAGAAAAATGCAAACTTGTTTATCTAAGAAGAGAGAGTCCAATACATATTCAACCTGGAAGGGAAGAGAGCGTATCTCAGGGAGGCCGAGATAAGGAGCAGGGAGATGGCAGCAAGGTGGCCAGGGAGTTCCTGCCCGGCACAGCGCGACCCCCGTGAGAGATGCTTCCCTCTGAGACACCCACTGAGAAATGTCTCCTCATCGCATGGACTGTTTATTTTGCTCAGTTTTGATTTTCCAACTCAAACAGAGGTCAGTGGTCAAGTGGTTGATGTAATTATGCACCAAAAATATTTTTGTCAGTTGTATTAGTCTTATTTGGGCACTTTTAACAACCAAATAAAAACAGTCACAAGTCTGAATCCCTGTTGGGCACTGTGCCCTCATGACAATAGAGGCAGGTCCCAGGGACACCATAGACATAGCCCTGGGCTCCAAAGTTAATGCCCAAAATGCATTCCAGCACAGAGTTGGTGCTGGGCCCTGAGGGCTCGGAGCTGTGGCTGCGTGTCTACACTGACTGCCGCTGGAGCCTGCCTTTCCTCCCGGGAGGTGGGAGGGTCCGTTCACCTCGGGAGCCTTCGTGTCTGTACACAGCACAGAGGACTTCTCTTGATGAAGAACTAAGGCCTCAGTATGAAGCTGATCAGGTAAGCTGGGAGAGACCTCAGGCCTCACCCATCCACAATGATTACCGAGTCCCCTTTCAAAGCTGCAGACACCGTGGGAGTCACAAAGAATAGGCAGGCTTGGTTCCCTGTCTCAGGGAACCATCAGGAGGTTGTGTTATCAGGAGGAACAGACGGCTATGTAAATAAACATCAGGCTAAATCTGAAAAATAAAATGCAAGCGTAAATCAAATATTACAAGGAGAGAGAGTGTATGAAGAAATTATTTCCACCTAGAAAAGAACTCAGAGCTTTGTGAAAGAGGAGGCTTTTTCTCGGGGCCTGGAAGGACGGGTAGGCGTTCCGTAACTGGAAATACCGGGGTGGGAGCCTACAGAGGTGCCAGCGTTCCTGGACGAGGAATAGTGGGAGCGAGAGCACAGGAAAGCCGAGGGCATGTAGAGGAATGGTGAGCTGGGCCGGAGCAACGGGCCTGGGAGTGGGGAAAGAGGCACAGAATGAAAGACCTGGGATGGTAGCAGGAGGCCAGATCCTGCAGGGCCTCGCCTACCTCGGTAAGGAATTTGGACTTTGCTTGGCAGACAAAAAGAAAAGCCAAGAAGTTTTTGGTCAGGGGATTCGCCAGTCACTGCTGTGCATCGGCAAGATTGCTCTGGCAGCACCGCACAGCGGAAGATGGGTGCAAGTGCGGTGGGGAGCCCAGTTAGGAGGAAACTGCAGAACCCAGAGTGACACTGACGAGGGCCCCTCAGCTTCTCATGAGGGTCAGAGTGGACCAGTGTCTGTCTCAGCCCCTGTGACAAACCAGACACGCCCTCTAGCCTTCTCTGCATCGGTGGTTTGTCCTCCTGTGAATTGGGGAATATGAATCTGGCCTCTGATTCAATCAGCAGAGACTGGGGCTAATAAAATGCATTCAACCACATAAAATGTTTACAGCTCACTGGAGGAAAGGTGCCCTAAATCCACAACGATCTTAGCAGCACCAAAAGAAAGGAGATTGTTTTAGAGTGAAGGATTAATGGGTAGAATTTTTCAATCCTTACAACCTTCCTGTTGTTGCACTGCCTCGATTTCCTAGTTAAGGAAAGTTTTCCTTTTCAGGGTTGAACACTGAAAGATCTGAGGGTCATCCCAGACTGAAATGAATATCAGAGCTTCTGTAATTAATGCTCACCAGCACTCCTTGGAAATTGCAGGACTGATTCCAGAAGTACTGCACACCAATAAGGGGTTTCATTGTCAAGATCTGCCGGTTTCGTTTATGCCTATGGGTCATGTAGTCTGGATTCACTGAAATCTATTAGATCATAATCTCCATGAAGGAAACAAACAGCTGTCTTGTTCACAAGCAGCACTCTCGTGACCTAGCCCAGGCAGGCACCCAAGCACTGAATGAACAACTGAGTGAATGAATGCGTGGGCATGGTCTGGCCCACAGTACAGTGCATTCTCCTACCAGCGCTGTGTCACAGAACTGCCCAAGAGAAAAAGTCTAAAGGATCAGAACAAACTTTTTCTAGCGGAAAAAATCTATATTTTTAAATATGTGTATGTATTTCTAAACTTCTGAATTTTGTTGCAGACTGACTTCCTTCTCCCTCATTCTAATGTTTCATAGGGCTCTGTGCCTATATGACATGCTGAGGCGGAAAGGTGTGGTCAGCATCGCCATCTGGGTCAGGACTCTAGGTCGTGTTTGACAAAGGCCTTTTCAACCTGACTCATGTAATAGTGAGGCCCAGGCTTATCTCAAGCAAGACGGAACCCGTGTATTTGGACAACGCCAGCAGGACTTAGTCCCTCTCCATCTCTCGGCTCTCATTTCCTCTGTGCTGGCTTCATTCTCAGAGAGTCTGTCTCTTATTAGTGGCAGAGATCAGAAACTGGAGGCTTAAAGTTTTACCAATCTGAAAACCCAAGAGGAAAAGAAGAGCTTCTCTTTCCCAATAGCTCTTGCTAAAAATCCCAGGGTTGCCTCACCTTGGCCCAGCTTGGGTCACATGTCCATCCCTGAACCAATTACTGGGATTCTAAATGTGTAAACCCAGCCCAGGAGCAAGGGAAATGAGATGACGTCCACCGGACCACAGAGAATATAAACGGAAGAGTGGGAACTGGGGTACGGTTCCCAAATGAAAATCAGGTGCTATTAACAAAAAGGGTAAATGGATCTTGGGAGGACTAGACTGGCAGAGGGCATCCATCTGTCCAGAATGAAGCTGAACAGGACCACATCTGATGCACTGTCAGGAAGAAAGTGATGGAGCTTTTTTGCCACCATTATCGCTGTGCAGGTGCTTAGTGGGAACAGATGCAATGCAGCGCCCGTGAGCAGCTGCAGGAAAGGAACCAGCAGGCAGGGAGTGGAAGCCGAGCTACAATCCATCTTCCTGCCTAAGAGTTCCCCCAAGTCTGTTTTACTGCATGATACACCGAGCCTGACTCAGGCACTTTCCAAGTTGCAAAACTTGCTCATGCTCAGCAGATATATTTGAAACTGTTTTATGACCAAGAGTTAAACAACAGGAGGAAATTAAGGGAGAAAAATCAGGGATATGGCTTTGTGCATAAAACTCAGACATGCAATTAACAGAGCCCACATTAATCACACGTCAGTTAGGCCTCAGTGGTTTGATAGCTTTCTGTCGGCAGAAATAAGCTGATCCCGATAGGCAAAGAGGGCTGTTGCGATATAACTGAAACACTTACACACAGGGCCCCTACCACTAATTAATCAAGTAATCACGCTCTTCGTGGTATTTGGGGGATATTTGGTAATTAGGTTTTTTAGTGTTTCTCCCCGTTTGGCTCCAGCTCTTTATCACACCCTCCAATCCTTATCTAGACGTTCCAGTGGAAGACAAGATGTGTTTTTAATAATAATAAAATCCTTGTATTTGTGAACCACATTGTGCTTTGTAACATGGCTCACTAGAGTCTTTAGCAGGCTTGGAAGATAAAGCAGCACAAATATTATCTCCCAAGTAACTACTGGAGTGTCTGGCTTGAAGTCAGACTTGAAAAAGGCCTGTAGAACCCAGTTCTCCTGTGGGCGCACTGAGGCGTCGCACCTTGTTGTGGTGCCCGGGGCTGGTGGGGTGCACTGAGCCCTGGGCTCTGCAGGCCAGGGGAGCCACCTGGTGAGGACCGAATCGCCACAGTGCCTACAGTCCCTAGGGTCGCACGTCAGCCCCACACAACAGCAGAGGCGTTAAATGTACCTGGGATTCTAAGGACATGTCCAATGCCTAACAAACAGTTGTTCTATAGAGAGGGAAGAAATGCAGTCAAATAGAAAACCTCAAGAGATGCATTTCTTAAGATAATAAAAAAGCACTTTGATGACCCTCCCATTTGTATTATGGTTTTAGAATTCTTCATATCTCCTTGAAATGCATCATCCCATTATCAGTCCCTGTAGACCGGAAGTACTAACATCTGTATGACTTTGAGAAATCCTATAGGAAAGAGGCACGATCCCTCATTGCTAGGAGAATGCTCCTGTCTTTCAGATGAATCTTTCTTGGGACTGATAACAGAGTAAATGTATTCAGGAAGTGGTTCTTTGTTTTAATCAGAAAAATATTGGCTCATTGAATTAATGCTAGTTAGTTCTTGCATGAATTTGAGGCCCGTTCTTGGAACTACTATCCCTAAAAATTATCATTATGACAAGAGAGGCAGATGAATTCACTCTCTAAATCATTCACTTATTCATTCAGTGTGCCAGCTTTTTCAAGGACACAATGCCGAGTTCTACAGTGGCGCAGGGGACGCAAAGATGAAAAGTTGCAGTCTGCGACCTCAATGGTAGACACACAAACTAATCATTCCAGCAGCCGCTGCCACAGCAAATAACTGCATGGGTTTGTGAGCATTTTCCATAGTCACGGTGCCAAGTGCCTTCAGCATCATTTCTTTTTATCCTTTGATATTAATACCATTGCACAGATGAGTAAACGGAGGCTCACAGTGGTTAAGTGACTTGCCCAAGCTCACAGGGCCAGTGAGAGGTGGAGCAGGGAGCCAGGCTCAAGCAGTCTGACCCACAACACATTCCCCGACTGTGAGTACACTACTCACAGCATGGATAACGTTTAGTGGTAGCGCAAGGAACATTTCCGAGAAGGGCTTAGTTAATATCACAGGAGAGAGAGAGAGTATCTGAGCTGAGACCTGATGGGTTTGTAGCATTTGTCAGGCCAGCCGGCTTGCAAAAGGTGTTCCAAGCAAAGGGGACAGTGTGGCAGAGCCCAGAAGCAAGAAGCAGCCTGAGACATTCTAGGACGTACACCCAGGTCAGAGCAGCTTGGGCATGGAGCGAAGGCTGGGGACAAGGGGAGACCAGGCCGGTGGGGAAGGCAGGACCTGAATACCACGCCTTAACTATGCTGGTGTCCATGTATTGTCTTCAGATATGAAACAAATCTGTCATTTCATTTGTATGGCAATTAATAGCTCTCTCTGCCTGACTAGCATCAGAGTGAACTCAACTTCAGTTTGCTGGACTCTAGTCTCCTTGATGAACAGGCTAATTTTACTCTTACTGTTTAATGTCAAAGGTCTTTTTACTTAAAGACTGAGAAGTGGGGGACTAGAAGGAACTCCATCTCCTTTGCTGGGCGCTCTTCCGGGGATGGGCAGCTGTTTGAGGCCAGTTTGGGGCGATGAAATGTGAGGAAAGAGAAGCCAGTCTCTCTCCTGATCGGTGTGAACAAGGAAGCATTTGCTGTGCTCGGGTAGATTCTGGAAAACCATCATGTGACCAGGAGGGAACGCAGCTTTAGGGTGAGGACCAAGGATGACAGAACAAAAAGATGGTAAAGTCCTGGGTTTTCTTGATCTTTCAACTATTAAATCAATCTGGGAGCTCCCCCTACTTCTGGTTTTTGTTTAAGCCAACCTGACTCGGATTGTCTATTACATGCAGTCCAGGACTCCCCCATTACCTCGGCCACACTGATCAGCGGCCACGTCAGGGGACCTTCACACTGCCTGTTGGAGCCTGAATCACACTTTCAGTCTCATTATCTCTTGATTGGTTATCTTGCTTTACTAAAACATATGTTGGATAATTTTCCGAGAAGTCATTTTTTCTTACTCCCTGAATGCCTTAAAATGTTTTAATTTCTACCCTGTAGTTCACCAATGAGTTGGGTAG